TAAATATTTGTAAAATATATACATGTATGTTTGTGTATTTATATATACATAATAAATATACACAGTACACATATATTTTGTAAACAACAACTTTTATTTTGGATGCGATTAATTGTGATTAATCATTTGACAGCACTAATATATATAACTGGTAACATAACTGGTTAAACTATTTAAATGTACTCTAACAGTGGGTTGGGAAAAGATAAGCAGTCAACTTAACACAACTATTTGGCAGATATATTTGGGAAATATTTTGCTTTAGCACAATGACAATATAAAAGCCAATTATTTAATAAAGCAAACAGTGTGTCTTTATAATATTACAAATATTAAAAGCATTTTAGGAAAAGGGTCCCTCCTTAGGCTGTTCTAATATTTGGGAGACTTTGGTATGAATAACAATTTTTAAAAAAAACTGTTTTAGGACCCTAATATGATCATTTTAACATTTGTTAGATGTACTTTTCATTACTTCAAGAGCAAAACTTGAAGTATACGAATGTACTGTATATTTTGTGTCCAAGCTCCGGATTTAGCATGTAAACGATCTCACAGTCAACAGATGACAAGATTCAAATGTTTACCACAGGGAGCCTGAGGTTACGCAACCATTTCCCCAGCCAGGAAATTGAATGACCTCCAATTGTGCGGTCACACTTGAAAAGAGGTTTAATCCACTAATTAGCAGTTGGAATATTTGATTAGCTGCATCTTATTAACAGTTGGCTGATACATACGGAGAGAACGTGGCTCACACACCACGAAGATCAACATACCATCATATTAAACAGACCAAAACCATTGTTTTTCTATGTAAACGTGCTAGATGGACGTTTTTGACAACTGCGTTTGCATCTCTCACTTTCTACAGCATTTCGAGCATGATTCAAAAAACACATCTCTAGACCTTGTATTCTTTTTATTCCACTATTGAGCATCTCACATTTTAAAATGCAAAAACACATTCTAAGTGGATGGCCCCTAAGGTGTTCACACATAAGCACACATAAACATCTGACCTAGATTCCTTTGTCCCTTTAAAAATGTTCCGTCCCATCACAGTACATCCAAAAACATGGATAAACAAGGAAAAACGATGAAGAGCAACAGAAAAAGTCTCATGCATCATGTCACTCGTTTAATAAAAACAAAGGACTGTTCTGTGCCAGCTTCTGATTCACTTCTACTTTGTTTTTTGCACTTGTCACCAGAACTGAAAACACATCAAGCATAAAAAAAAAGCTTTCTTAACAAATCAACAGTTTGAAGATTGTTAGCAGACACTCAGGGGAACCATAACAACAAGCTTGCAGTTAGCGTTTCCATAACTTTCACTTTTAAGCTAACTGTGTCACCAAAATGCTCCAATAAAACTCTGGTGAGATGCTTATCAACTCAACACAGTGGTGCATTAATGTGCCCTTTCATGCGTTTGCCGTTAGAACACTGGAAACATTCTCTGCTGTTATAGATGGCTGGCTTCTCCACCGACCGGATTGCTATTATTTATTAGTGTGCAGTAAACCAGTGAGGAAGAGTAGACCTGGCCAAGCATCTCTCTTCCTGTCTCATTCATAATAAATGGTTGGGAGAGAATGAAGTAAGACTCAAATTTGCACCCCCTGAGAAATCCTTTGTTCTGGAGATGCATGAGATGACGGTCTGTGAAACTGAGGTAAATGAGAATACTGATTTAAATTGTGAAGATGTAATTGAGAATGTAATCTGAAACTGTGGTGAGAGTGGCTTCACGTCAAAATTCAACTGTTTAAAATGATCCTTGGGGAAAAAAAACAAGCCTAAAAACACAGCAGGATTGCTGTCATTACAAGAAAAGCTGTCTGTATGTGTGAAAATTCATCTGGTAATCCCGTTATGCTCTTCTATGTAGGTTAATTGTGGAGCCAGTGGATTGATTAGGGAGACGGACAAGCGAATCAAATCGTCCTGATTTGTTTATAGGCTGTTAAGTGTGACCCAAAGCATAGAGCTATGCGACAGCACATGTCAGCAGAGTTCAGCATTTCCAGGGCCACATGGGCTGATGATATCAAATATAGTTCACTCAGAGTCTGAAGTCAGACGGTCACAGTGGGGTAACCCAAACAATCCTGTCTAGGACAGCCCCCATAACTGCGTTCATGTGCAACAGAATGTTTTGATTTGATTTAAAGCAGGACAGGGTTTGGGTTTTGTTTTCAAGCTTTTGGAGGAAGTTGTAGCGCAGACCTGAAGGAGGTGTTGGATGGAGAATCAGTGAGGAGACTTTTGAGTCTGATGTACTGCTTAAACATGAGACTTTCTCAATACAAAATTATACCAATACTTGACATTTTTAGAACTTAAAAGCCTTATTTGTATAAATGTATTGCATTTACATTGCTGAATGCAGTTAAAGAAATATTCTGGGTTCAGTACATGTTAAGCTCAATCGACAGCATTTGTGGAATAATGTTGATTGCCACAAAAATTTATTTAATCCCTCCTTTTCTTAAAAAATCTGGGATAATGTGGGGCACTTACAATGGAAGCAAATGAGGCCAATCCATTAAAATACTCACTATTTCAACTGTATAGCCACAAGATCTTGATGAAAAAATCACAACCCTTTTCTGTGACAAAATATCAAATTTTACTACTTAAAATGTCAATATAATGCATAAAACCTTAAAAGGGTTGTAAAAATGATTATGTAAACAACTTGACAGTTCAAATAATACTTTTTAACACTGTATTTTAATGTATTGGAAGTTCTTTTCAACATTTTTAGTTGTGCTTTTTAAGTGCTCTTCTGCTGTTAAATCTTCCCAAAATGCCCCATTTACTTCCAATGTATCACAGCATGACCTTGATTTTTGCTTTCTTTAAGAAAACAAGATACGTGTCTTCATTTTTTTTTGTATTAATCAACACAAAGCTATAAATGCTCTCTGTTGAGTGTAATTTGTTTT